TAATAACTTATACAGTTTATGCAGAAAGCTCAAATCGGTCTCTAAATTACTCTTGAGACTTAGTCTACCAGCGCAATGTGTTTGTAAAAAAATTCTCAAAACCGTCTCAGAGTCCCTTTTAGTGCGACGGAGTCACTCGTGCAGTTAATATGAAGTTGTCGAAGTTACCAGTAGGTTATAAACAGAACGTGATTACTAACATGGAGTGAAGGCTATGGGAGACCAGCGCTGGATAGGTTGCGCGCCGAAAAAGAGCACCTGACAGAGAGTTGCCCCAAAAATCAGCTGCTCACGCCCAGACGACCGGCCACAGTGTACCGCTCTGGGAGTACGAGCATGCGCCGCTGCCGTGCTTCATTTTGGAACGAGCAGCTCGAAAAGCCATTGCGCCAGTAATAATGCGCTGTGGTTTAGAAAAAAATTCGGGATACCCCACGTACCTGGGAATCGACGTTATGCGAAGCATGCGAAGGGGAGGTGACCGTGTTAGAATTTTGTTATTTAGCAACACGTCAAGAAATGACCCTAAATATATATACAAATGTTGCAGGCGCAGACATATGTTGAAGAGTTGCAGATGATTATATAACCAATTGTTTGCACTTGTGCAATGATGCCAGCTGGAACATGCATATTAGCAACACCAGAAGCTGATATGAAGCGCTGATGTTCGCGAATCAACTTCAGCGCATGGCAGCTAACCACAATTGACATTAACCAGACGTGAAGGCTGTATCAAAGGAGTGCATTCGTAATGTTTATAAAGATGGGTAGGCAGCACTGCAACCACTATTGGTGTTTCACGAAGATTAGCGACTATTTCAAAAGTAGTTCCAAGAGCTGGCTAAGCTCTGTGGTAAAATGCTTCATTGCCACGCAGAATTCTTTGGTTTGATTCCAGCTGGGACTCTGAAATTTATTCTTTGCATTCATTGGGTTGACGCTACCAATATCGGGTATTGCATAATGCTCTCGCATTAAAATTGCCCATGTGTGTGCACGTTGTTCCTGGGTACATACGAAGTGTAAATCACCCATGCACATACCCGCGCGTGGGTATGTGCCACTGTCTGGCGGGAAATGTTTGATGTCGTACGCGACGGATTTGTGACATAATTCATGTCTTGACCAGCGCGTCATATTCGTCAAACCATCTTACCCACCCATGCTAATTTTGGTTCCTGCCAAGGGGGTGACCACGAAAGCCACCAAACATAAGCGGCTAGATAGATAGAAAGATACGCCCAAAGTTGCCGAAGTTCGTTAAGAAATGCTTCACATTTGTTAACTTGTTTTGAGTGCTACTATCACATAAAAAGCCCTAAAAAACTGAGAACGTCCCTGCTAAGCGGACTGCACCTATGTATATAGTATCGAAGGGACAGTGCTGTGCCGCGATGGCAGCTCCCTCGTCCTCATTTTACAGTTGCGTGTTGGGTTTTGGGCTATATAGCTAGTGCTGGCTGACATGCCCCATCGATAAATTCGTGCTGCGACGATACCATGCTATCCAACATTCGCAGTAAAACAAAACAAAAGCAGAGTAAGTGGTAGCTGCATCATTTGTTTTATTTCTGGCACCGTTTGTACGCCCTGTTTGCGGTATGTATGCACGGGGGAGTTGATCAGGGAAACCACCGTAGCAGCATAGCATGTGTGCTGTCTCTCTACTATTCTTGAGGGTGCGAGATATATTAGCAACCGCGGCGGCCACATTTCGATGGGGGTGAAATATAAAATGAACACCCGTGAACCAAGATTTATGTACGCATCGGAGAACCATGAGTGGTCACAATCTTGATATGCACACTACAGTGTGTCCACCATTCCCCACAAGGATTCTTGAATCACACTATCGTAAGCTCCCTTGATATCTAGAAATGCCAACCACAGGAGCCTGTGTTCTTTTTCCGCTATTTCAATACACTTTATCAATAAAAAGGGATCGTCCTCTAACCTCCTTCGTTTATGGAACCCATTTTGCAGTTCCCCCAGCACCCCCTCGTTCGCTACTCATGTCTGTAGTCTTTCCTCTACTATCTGCATCATCTGCCTGTAAACTACTAATGCCACTGTTTTAGGATAGTAAATGTTTATATCGGCTTTGTCCCTTTTCCTTTGTAGATCATGCTCATCCTGCTTAGTTTCGAACCCTGGGGACTTCACCATCCATTATTGCTTTGCTCCCTGCCCCTCTTAATGTTTACTTAGAGTTTGCTCCTAGTTTCTTTATTAGCATAAATGGGATGGCGTCAGGGCCTATCGATGTGCTATTAGGAACTCTTTTCTTTGCCCTTTTCCACACTCATTGTCCTAGTGGATCCGCTGCACTAATTGGTTCATCTTCATCTGGAACGATACATGCAGCGCTTTCTTGGTGTTTAAATTTTTCTGTCACCATTGTTCTTGTATATATTATTGCCTCATACCCTTCTAATTTAATCCCTAGAAATGTAGTTATAAACCTCTGTTCCACGCTTGTCTTATTACTCAGATAATTGAGGTGGTTCCAAAACTTTGCAGCTGCCTTTCTATCCTTTTTGGTTACTTCCACCATTCATTGGGCCCTGTTTCTTTTAATCTTTTAATTGACCATATTGGACGCTTGTCTTCTGCAGTTCACCCTCTGTTTAGCGTACCTATGTTCCCTGGAGGCTTTCTGACGTTTTACCCTGGCTCTCTGAACTTCCTCATCCGACCAGCTCCTGGGCTTGTGTATCGTTTTCCCGGTTGATTGGACTCGTAACTTAGCAAGTTCTAACTCAAACAATCGAGTTAGATTTCTGTACGCGTCCACTCTGTTTTAGTATCCTCGGTGATTACTTTCTCAATCTTTTTAGTTACTATTTCTATTTGCCTTTCTAAATAAATATTACCGTGTGGTTGCTCGCAATGCCACCTTTACAATTTCTCTTCCAAAACTCAGCTTGATACGTTTATCACTATCTAAGCTTCTGGACTCATATTCATATATGTTCATCACCCTTAGGCAATCGTACATCGGATGTGACATTATTGTGTAATCTATTGTTGACTGCAGCCTTCCCACCTCCCATGTTATCTGCCCTTCGCATTTCTCGGTGCTGTTGCAAATGATTAAATTGTGCCTTTCACACATATCCATTAGCATTCTGCCTGTTGGGTCAGTATATCCATCCATATCTTTTATGTGCACATTCATATCTCCTAATATAGTTACCTGGCACTTTTCTCCTAGTTCATCAATGTCATAATATATACACTGTACCATTTCTTGGTTTTTTCTCTGGTTTTTGATCTTGTCGACAAGTATGCAAAATCCAGGCGTGTCATCTGCTCTGCCACTTTCCGTTTTAGTAATAAATGCACCCTGCACTGGTCTTTGAGATTGCATGCAATATGTCGGAGTGCAATCTCGGCGGTCATGACTAGGCGAAGCTCAGATCGTCGAGTGCATTCATGAGAGCTCTGCGATAGCCTGCGATAGCCAGCAATGCCAGCGTGTCTCATGAGTTGCGGAGGCAAGACAGGGGTGTGAAGGAGAGTATGACATGACTGTCCGTAGCGGCCTGAACCCACGAGCCTACAGCATTTCTGCCTTTATTGAAAATGCAGCCGCCGCAGCCAGGATTCGATCCCGCAACCTGCGGGTCAGCAGCCAAGTAACTTAGCCACTACACCACTGCGGAAAGGCTATGGAACACAGCAACATATCATCACACAGATAATATATATACATGAACATACTGTGCATACTGTACGACCGTCTTCTCGAGTCGGAAAATCACTGCAGACTAAACACTGAGAAAACACCGAACAAAATGCAACCGCGGTGGGGAAATCCCCGGTTAAAGTAAGCCATAAAGAAGAAGGGAACAATCTGCACGTAACAATAAGCCACAAGAGAATTCGTGCGGATTTCTTAGGCTGTTTACTCGCCAGAAAGTTAGAACGTTGTCAGTTTCTCTTTCTAAACATCTTCTTTGACGAACTTTCTTCACTATGGAAGTCTGTTGTAATGAGGTTATCAAAAAGTTTGTTTCTCTTTCTAAATATTTTCTTCCGTGAACTCAATGATCAGGGCAGAACTGATTTGCCACATAGGATAGTTAAGTGGCTATCCTATGTGGATAGCCACATAGGATAGTTAAATGTTATTGTCTGCCCTCTTCATTTGAAACTTGCCCTGCTTTACTTGAATATAACATTTGTATGTGCTTTGTAGTGTATGAATATCATAATACTGTATGAGGGAAGTCACGCATGATCACAATACGCTCTTCTACGACTGAGCAATCCCAAATCCACCAGTGCTGCACCACTTGTTTTTCTGCATTAGGTGATAGGTGGCAGCATCCTGCAAGCAATTTGCTTGGAATCTGAGAGCAAGGCAAAATGTTGTCCACGTCCAGAAGTGTTGATGCGAAGTGATCCAAGTCTTTCGACCAAGCAAATCCTCCACGTTGCTTTCAGCAGTGATGTTGAAAGAGACCATCTAGAAGACAAGGATTTTTTAGTGGACGTGGAAGGCTGGTGCACTGATGGCAAGAATGCACCAGAACTACCATTAGAAGAGAGTTTTAGAATGGCATTGCTCAAAGCTTTACGTTTGTGTTAGGCAGGCGTCGAACGGAAACTTCTTGCACGCCTCTGTTAAGTGACACCGTCTACTACCACAATAAATGAAGAGTATGCTAATATCTTCTCGTCAAACTCCGGTAAAAATATGTGCTGTACATACTGTAACTACAGGGCCCTCAATATATAATGCTACCAATGCATTTCTTGCAGCCCTGACCACCAGCAATAAAGTTTGCGGACAAGCTAGTAGGTACATGTTACTTGAAAAAAAAAGAGTGAGAATACTGAGCACAATAACTGTGCTCACGTTGTGTGATCGCCTAGTTGTATTCCGTCATTGCCCTGCTTTTGTGTTTAGAGTAACCTGTCCAAATGGTTGAAAACGCAAATCATGTACTTGAAGAGTTCCATTAAAGTGTTCTTTTTAAAGAGACCCAAAAAACAATTTGATTGCAGAGTTTATTTTTCTGGGTGAGACGACAGTCCTGGATCTAGCACAGCGTTACTCGCCTGGCGATAGCGCTTGCTTATCTTGGCATAAAAGAACTTGAAGAAGAAGAGTAGATCATCCACATGTCCTGCGCAGCCCTGCAGAGCCAGCAGACGGGTCACGGCCAGATGAACGGCTTCAGCCGTGGCCAGCCAACTGGATGGCTTGCCCCGCTGAGGACGCCAGAATGCTGATTGGCCCCCTTCTAGCACCGCACATGGCAGGCCTGTGAAACCACGACTTTCCAGTTGGCTATCTGCAGCTAATATACTGTTTTGTTCCCAACGTATGTGGGATCTGCTGAATTTTCTTTTAACAACAAAGATGTTCTCAGTCAAGGCTTCCTGTTTGTTGTTGTAGTGCTAATATCGAAATTTTGCTGAAAGAAGAAAATAGGAGTCCCATTTTCCTCTTTCATTGGTTCATTTTTATTGGTCCATTGAGCCTCGCCATGTCAAGATGGGCGAGGCTCAATGGACCAATAAAAAGTGGGCTAAGAATTTCAAGACATGGTGAACGAAAGAGAGGCGTACAAATATGGGTGAAGGTGAGCAGGGAGGCATGAGCTTCCCTTTTTTGACAATGTTCACAACATGCATCTTATGGGAATGTGCGCATGGTGCACCTGCTGCAGGTGGTCAGGTCAAGTACAGGCACAGCCAGACGTACCACCCTTGTAAAAAAATAAAAAAAAATGCTCTTGTATTATTTTTATTGATTCCTGCTATTACCATCATGAAGACTCAAAAAGAACAGAAGGTAATAATAGGGGTAGTTTGTGGTGAAGTACATGCATGTTATGCATATATGAATGTTTAGAAATGAATATTCTCAATTGATAGTAAGCGCTCATCCTCTGTCCTTTCTGAAGAAGAATGGCAATTTGGGCTAGTTGGTTTGAATTCATGGTAATAAGGGCTGCAGCACGAGCACGAATGTGCTAGAAGAAACAGACGAAAGTCGAGGCACGGAAAGGCACGTGTTGTCCTCTTTGCTTTCCGTGCCTCGACTTTCGTCCGTTTCTTCTAGCACATTCGTGCTCGCGCTGCAGCCCTTATTACCATGTCCTTTCTGACTCTTCGTACTTATTGGCGCTTGTTTCATCATCAGCTTATAGTAACATGCCCAACTGGCAGTCATCCTAAATGTTATTACCTTCACTTGACACTTTCTCCATGAAGGGAACTTCACAAGCAAAGTATCCTTGCCAAAACAACACAACACTCTCCAATGCCGAAAAATCACCAATGCTTCAGTTTTAACACTTTGCTGCGTGCTGCCCACTACAGTGGACACATGCAATTTTTTAAGCAGCTGTGGTACCCTCCAAGACGTGCATGTGCATAATGGTAAATAAAGTGGATAAATGGTATAATTCCCCACATTAGATAACGTCCTGGTCATGATCCCACACTTTTTCCTGCCCTCTTGTTCAGAATGGTAGACTCCTACTTTAGTGGGTATGTCTACAGGTTTTCCCACTCACTTTCATCCAAGTTCCAGCTTAAATAATCTACATGCTATTGAAATAATCTGAGCGCCAAGCTCTTAATTCCATTTGCCAAGCATTTATTCCAAGCGCCAACTTAATTAGGTTGGGTGCCTGTGAATTTACTTAAGTGCCATCACGTTTAATCCGATTGCCAACGTCTTTAATTTAAGTGTCCATCAGTTTAATCCAGGCACAAAAAGCAAAATACGGGCCATGAAAACGGCAGTACCATTGAAATGTAGTTTCTACAATATATAATAGTCACAAAGTAGAACAAATTATTATTATTTGCATTCACCGCTAGTATTTGTGAAAAAAAAATTGCTGCCATTGTTCGCTTGAGCCATGTTTGTACTTCGCTTTGTACAATTTTGTAGATGACTGCTTGTCTCGGGTAGAGTCAGTTCAATGGCAACGAAAGAAAAAGCAAGAATAAGCTAACAAATATTTTGTGCTCATCAATAAAGCTCATATTTGAATTGTATAGCATTACATGACCAGGGCAGGTCATGTAACTCGAAGGACAGAATATGATTATTGGAGTGCTGGAATGCATACCAAGATATGAAAAACCTGGCCGTGGGCAGCGATGGGTCAAAAGCAGGTACGTGCTCAAAAAATTAGAAGGCCTGCACAGGTCAGAGCGATTTAGCAGTAATTCGAAAAGGTTTTCGTCCTGCAGTGCACATAAGATGTGAACTCATGGTCCTGATGTAGAAAACGGAAGTCTTATTTTACATTCATATTAGGTGTTATCTTTTAGGGGCGAAGCTCCTTATGGCGTGGCTTGGGCGTCCCTCGTATGTAACCACCAGTGGCACATACCCGAAATAGGTATAACACTTGACCTCCAAGGTGGTGCCAGTGAGAGATTTCTTCTGTGCGCTGTTTAACAATAAAAAATAGTGCTCAATGTACATGCCAATGGCTGCTAATGGGGAATGAGAGACATGAGCATTCGGCTTTTAGTCAACGCGCACGCTGCGATCCCCATTAGCAGCCATTGGCTTGTACATTGAGCACTATCGGAAAAGAAAGGGACGCTACATTATACTCGCTGGGTGTAACCTCCTTAGCTTTAGAAAGGTTTAGCGAGCGTTGAGCCGCAGCGCCATGAATACAATGAACTTGTATATACCATGAATGAACTCAAGGTGGTTAAAAATGAGAAGTAGATACGAAGCGCAAGCCGTAAGAAAGTAAAAGCCGAATTCTCCTGTCTCTCATTTCTCATTAGCAGCCATTGGCATGTAAATTGAGCCCTATCTGACAGGGAAAGGTTGCTACGTTATACTCGCTGGGCGTAACCTCCTTGGTTTTCGAAAGGTTTAGCGAGTGTTTGGTCGCAGTGCCATGAATACAGTGAACTAGAATATACCATGAACTCGAGGTGGTTAAAGGTGGGAAGTGGACCCAAAGCGCAGGCCGTAAGAAAGTGTGCGTGTGCCACCTCTCGTTTAGTCCTTGGAATGTCCGCTGGATGGCGGTGCTTTTATATGGGGAATATATGATAAAAAGATGCGAGATGGTGGGACTTGGAGTGTTGAATAGATGAACGAACGGACACACAAACAGATGCATGGATGGACGCATGAACGGACGCAGGGGCGGATGCATGAAAGAACGCAGGGACGGGGGCACAAACAGACGCATGGACGGTCACACAGACGGACGCATGGACGGACGAATGCTTCGCCCCACTCTCCATCATTCACTCCGTGGATATGCTGCCATTTTTTTTATTCAAACAAAATTATGTGTATTCAGTGAAACACGCGTGTTTCAAGCAAACACGCTTCAGTAACACCAGCGTCGTCTATTACATTAAAACAGGAGTATCTCCTTTGATGCTTTTATGAAAAACCTAATTCCACATGAATCAAAATAAGTGCAAGTTCAGTTTTTAAATGGTTATTTTTGATTTCAAGGGCGGATGAATATCATCTGTCGGTCACCATCATTCTCTCCAACCTGAGCAGACGACTGCGAAAGCCTCAGCGAATAAGGAGCCAAATGCCGTCCGGTGAGCAGACGAGAGTCTCTTCATATGCAATGGTGTAGATTATTTGCCTGAATAATGCAGTAGCGATGAAGCATAGGCTAACATGGACTCTATGAACAAATACATTTAGTACCCGTAAGTGCAATTAATACGGACTGTTTTTGTATTCGAAGCTACGACACCAACACGTTGGCGGTAAATAGCACTGCCCCTAATTTCATAAGCATTAGCTTGTATAGGCAAGTGACAAGTTCTTCCTGTCTCTCCATGTTTAGATTGTTCGGACACTTAGACTCTATAAAAAGGCAAACGATGTGTTTCTGGTGCATGGATTAAACTGACTGGCACCTGAATTAAAGCCGTTGGTAATTGGATTAAACTCACTGGCACGTGGCCTAACTCAGTTGGCGCTTGGTTTAAATACGTTGGCGCTTAGAATAAATGCTTGACAGATGGATTAAATAGCTTGTAACTAAAATTATTTCTATGGTGTGTGGATTATTTATGCTGGTACTTGGATTAAAGTGAGCGAGAAAACCTGTAGTTCCTCACTTTTTTTTTCTAACACAGACGAAACCGTGATTTGGTATGTTTCATTACACGCACGCGATAAAAGTAGCCTTTGTAGACACAGACTGTAAATATGGCTTATTGAGCTGACGATAATTTCACAAAACAAGTTTTGCACTATTTCCACTGTAGTAGACACTATGCATAGTGGAGACATAGCTCACTCATGTGTGGCTTTTGTATAATATGTGGCTCTGGCTTTATGTAGCTGCATATATGTGGCTCATGATGTTACTATTCTTTTAGTAGTGCGTTATTACTTTTGTTCAGTTTCTGGAGACAAGCATCATGAGAACTTAGGTCATTTTCTCCGTCAACAAGTATATTATGCTCAAAGATGCAAAAATGAGCAACTGCAACAGGAAGCAATTTTCACTGAGAACATACAAAAAAAAAAGCTATACCCTCCCTCAGCTCCCCTAAGCTCCCCCCTCCCTCTTCAACTCTAAAAATATTTTCGTTGCTTTCCTGGTGGTACCGCAGCGCAACTTTTCATCCTGTTACATAACTTTCTTATGTTCATTCATTCGAGCAAAATTGCACACCAGCTGAAAAAAACTTTGGCAGCTTTGACTAATCGAACCTCTTGTGAATGATATCTACTCTAGCGGTCTATCTTACGTGCAATAAATGTTTCACCCCAACATAATTTGTTTTCGTATCTCCAAAGGCAAAATAACAGAAAACCAAACGCAAACGTTGTTTAGAAGCGTAGGTTCTTGCCATGCAACAAAGGGTTAAATAATACTTGACCCAAAATGTGCAGCAGAGATTACCTTTAATTTTGGCATCCAGATAGATTCGTTTCGTTTGCTTCCATGTGCTTATGCGGAGGCAGGAAGGAAGCATGCAAAAGAAGTGGGGTAAATTGTTAGAGCTACACCACTGATGAAGCAGCTCTCCCAAGTTTTCACTAATTTGAACATTGACTGAGAATAATGAAGGCAAGACTTTTTGCATCCTTAGGCTACTCCACGATGAAATGATGCTCTGCCTCTACCCCAAAATCTAGTCACTGAAAACTGAGACATGCTTTCCTTTTTATACGACAGACTGCACTAGGTGTTACAAGACCCTCAAATCAGCCACTTCAATGGTGACCGCATCCCTTTCAAAGCTCTTCAAGAGTTGGCAGCTTTTTTTTTTTTTTTTGCTGCGGTTGTCTTTCATGTGAGCCGCATTTCGGGCAAGTTGGTAATTCATTAGTTCATCACGGCTGTGCAACAACAACAACAAAAAAAAGACAAGGACAATAGAGATGAAGACACAACCAGCACAAGCATTCCATTAAATTTATTGTGCCACTGAACCTATTTATTCCCTTCAGTGGCAATAGCACAATAGTACATATAAATTTCAGCAGCGCATCGTGCATGGCGTGTTTCTTCAAATAGCTTGACAGTGCACATTTTTACAACCTTCCCGAGCAAACATCTGGTGGTCGTTTAACTTCACGGTGCTACATAGTGCTGCAGAGAATCCCTTTAATGGAGATACTACCACGTTCAACGACTGCTTGACGTGTCACATTCTAGGTCCAATGACAAGAGTTTTTTTTTTCTACGCTTGAAATGGGTAGAGCCGAAACAGAAACTGTGCATGCAATTTTAACCTAATGTTTGATTGTTATCATGCAAGAATTGAAAATGACTGATTACAGGGTAATTAGGCATTTTTGACATGATACAGGACTTTCACATTAATTACTGAAACTCATAATAAACACACATTCCTTTATTTTCTTTCAGAGAATGCAATAGTGAGTGCCCTGGATGCATGCCATGCTAATTCAATAAATTTCCAGACCGTGGATTGAAATTCGAGCTTATATATTGATGCAGTACTGACTACAATACTAGACACTTATTGAAAACTTTACTTTTACTTTACCTTATGACATTAAAGACCCTTTGGTAAGAGTATTACATAAGGGGTGGGAATACATTAGTACGTATTTTGAATGAACATGGCTGAAAATACAAAGATAGAAAAAGGGAAAAAAACACATGTGCTATATATTTGCATAATACGTAACTGAACACCGAAGGGGGAAAAAGACAGATGGGTACATGGAGTAATGTGTTAATTACGTCAGCACAAATACTTATATACCTAAACAGTACAAAGTAAAAATAAAATAACCGTTTCATTGCGAAAAGCGTGCCATGACCCTATCCATGAACGCACACGGGCAAGTGATGGCAACGATCTGGTGAGACAGATTGTTTCACTCTGTAGCAGCACGTCAAAAGAATAATGTGGAAAAAGTAGCAGTGCACATGCGAGGGCGGCCCACTTGACTACTGTGTAGACTTGTATCCCATGACTCAGCTGATTCGCTAAGTCACTATGGCTGAGGCGATAGCTAAATTAGGTGACAAGGGCATTAGTTCACCTTCACTATCTGCGACTCACAAAGAACGTGTTCTTGATGGCAGCATGTTCTAACTCCTAACCATGGTAGTGAATATATATATATATGGCCAAACCAGCGCCGGGACCCCGTTCCCAAACTGCTTGAGTTGCCCGCAACCACCACTGGGCTTGCGGCGAGCTTATGGGCCATTCCGATGGCCGATTCCAACCGGTTCTCAACGACGCTAGCGCATGGCTCCGCGTTCGCATCAGTGCACAGCACGGTGTTAAGCAGTGATGGTCATAAAGTTTACTAAAATTCACTAGAAAGAACTCTGGTGCTGCGATCGTTCAGAGAGCATGGGAATTATGTGTAGTACATGAATTCGTCTAGACTTCGTACTTGCGGGCGGCGAATCACACTTGTGGTTTTGTTTATGGCTGTGTTTCGGTTTTCTTTCAAAGGAAATGGCAAACTCTTTTGATCTTTATGACCTAATTTGAAATGGCCAGTCTGAAATGGCAAGCATTTTGGAATTTTGGTACGACCATGCATCTTCCGTGGCTGCCCCACCGCCGACAAAGTGCGAAGTGACGTCGGCGCGCATGGCCAGCGCCTCCTATAATGCACCAGGCGAGAGTGAGCGCTTGTTATTAGCCCCGAGAAGTTGGAGTGGCGCCGCCTGGTGGGAGGCTTGTATGACGTCACGGCATGGACTCTTCGAATCTTGCTGTAGCGTGCGTATACATATTATGCGTTGCGCTGCCAGCATTCACTTTTTTGCTTGTCCCATGGTTAAAATAAATGACGAAAGCAGTATCGAAGGTGTTCCTGGTAAAACCATGAAAAACTAAACTTTTTTTTTTTTTTCAGTAGAATCCCCAACGGTGCCTGCACTCCAGTGAACACGTTTTAATAAGGTTTGTTATGGGTTCGTGCTGCTTATCTCGAGGATAGGCTCGATTATCGACCATGGCAGCTACACTCCAACAGGGGTGAACAGCAAGACAATGCATGTACACCAGGTTAAAGAATGCGAGGTGACCACAATTACTCTGCAGCGTGCCTTGCAATCATGACCCTCTTCTGAAATGCATACCACAGCATACTTGCATTTCAGGTTGCATCGTCAACGGGCGATTCTTTTAAAACGATGTGATTGTTTTGCTTCCACAATTGGTATTTGCATCGGACGCGTTGGAGCAAATGCTGGCATTGTTTTGTTTTTTTTCCTTGGGCGCGTGCTTAAGTTACTATCGAGTGTCGCAAAATATCTCGAATGCACTGACCCGAAAATACCGCCGCAACTGTTGCGTTACATTTTCTGGTGTGTAGTTGCTCATATGTCATCACATTATTTTGCTTCATGTTCTGGGGAATAATTTCGGTGCTTCATTTCACTAAAAAAAAACAAGTTGAAGTGAGTTGCGGAAACTGCTCACGATTTCAGATAGTGTCTACAAGCAACATTCTAGCAAATGTGCTGTCACACCTGTAAGTATCAGTTTATATAGTCACCTGGTGAATAAATTTTCCCATATGAATACGATGTGCGAGGCCAATCGTTGCATCATTGAGGTAAAGGGCATTTCATTATCACGTGGGTCACGAAGCGGAGTGCACCATCGAAGCACTTCATTTCGACTCTGGCATTTGTTTTGCAAACGATTGCTATCAGCAGTGCTCCTACGTGAAGTGAACATTACCATTTATGACATGGTGGTAGATCGAGTCAGCTGTTCGCATAAATCAGGGTATGCGACTACTTAATCCTGATGACTGTTGAGAAGAAATCTGTGCATGAGATCAGAGTATACCAACGTCTACCAACCGCAACAATTGTGTGGTTTGCAGCGTTATTTTTTTTTTCTGGCTAGTACAGGTGATTCTGTATTAAAAACAGATCCACCTAAAGTTCCTAATGCTTCCTGCATACCAAAGTGGAATTCTGTCGAATTAGCAATATAATAGGATATACATATTACGACTCACGCATGCATGCACGCACCGCGCATGTTTTCGTAACGGTCTACTATCGCGATGAGTGAACGGCGCAGAAAGCATGACTTTCGACCCGGGCGAACTGCGACATGTCTTGACTGTCACTAGGCGAATCTAGATGTGCTTTCGGCCGGCGTCATCGTAGCATTTTGAAATCTTGTTCTGGCTGGCACTTTTGCACCACGTGGGTGTTCCGAGTGCCCTGCAGGACTAGCAATTGATACACATGCTGTGCGTGAGCGTAAGTTGGAACCAGATTCTAGCGCTATGTTGACACCGGCTAACAACAGAAATTCTGCCTTCTCACAGCCAAGGCACGCCGCAGTTCAACTGAGTCGAAAGCAACGCTTTTCGCTGTTCGCATTTCTTTCAATCGCAATAGTACGTACCTGATGAAGCTGTTTCCGAAGTCTGCAATGTTTGTGCTGCAGACATTTCGGACTGTCGAGAAAGGTCTCCTCGACGTTTCACACGACATCTGCATAAACTTCCAGACCAGGAACAGCGCGAAACATGCTTACAACCGGACTCAAGTTGTGAAGTTTCGCGTTCGATTTGCAGGGCGTCTGCTCGCCTGGCAGTTGAGAGTGTTGCTTCGCAACGCTCGCAACAGGCGGCGCCACCCGTTTTTCAATATGGCAGCAAGCACTGAGCTCGCTGTATTCTGGTGTACACGGCGGGCTCGAATAGAAGCGGCCATCGGCAGCGGAGCAGGTGAGTCCTTGCTGTGACGTCCCTTTGCCGCGACTGCAGCGACGCCAGTGTTTGTTCTTGAGGCTAATTGCGCGCCGGTGAGCGCAAGGCGGGCAGGTGGGCCTGCATCCCATGAGCTGACGTTGCCACCATGGTTTGGAGTGGGGGGAGGGGTGCTGCCCCTTTCACTAGAAACCAACTTTTGTGCGTTGGCAGTACCACACTTTTATTTTCCGTCGGATATGTGGGGCCACACTGCATATGGAGGGCACTTTACCAAATAGTTTTCCACGGTATTGGTGTCTATGTCTTTCGCTCTTTGTTTTCGACACCGTGAGCACGATGAATAGTTTTACTGCGTGCGCATGGTGTGGGCCTTGACGATGTTCAGCTTTGCTTTTATTTTTATTGCGATAGCAATTATATAAACAGTCTCGGCAGGTTTTTATTGCGATAGCAATTATATGGACACACTCGGCTGGATTTTGCCGCCAGTTTCGACGTCGCTGTCACTCGCCGTATATGTATACATATCTATATATATGTAAACGCAAGAAACAAGAATAATCCAGAAAAATACTTTGCCACGCGGAATCGAGCTTGGTACCTCTGACTCGTGAGTGCGAGGCAATAACCCCTGAGCTTCTTCAACGTTCAAACGCCAAGCTATCTATATCTACCACTTACCACTGTTGACGGGCATCTCAGGAGGAACTATCATGTTTTCATAATTACCAGCAAGATGGTGCAATGAGCATGCGTCGCTACATCCT